ATTGAGACAAGTGAGGATCGATTAAGTTTAATCGATTGAGAAAAACGTGGTTGCTAAGAGTTTGGAGAACAATAAGGAGATTGGTTTATCTCTTATCAGATAAAAGGTGAATAAAACATAAGTGCCTCCGAAAAATTAGAAAAAAAAAACAAACAGTCTGAATGATCATACCTCTTAACTAATCAGACATAAGAGGCTAATAAGAGCTTTATTTGAAAAAACAAACAGGGTCTTATTGAAACACTATTCTAAGAGTGTTTCAATAAGTTAGTTTTTGCTCATCCAGGGATATAACTGGAAGAAACTGACAAAAAAAAACTCGTGAAACTTATAAGCTATTTTTTGTTCATCCAAACGTGAATTTTAAATAAGTTCAAAAAATAAGTTAACTTATGTCTGACAAACACGACTTTACATATTTCATTTTATTAACTGTTAACATGAGGTTGATGTGTTTTTGCATACTGGTTTTGTAGAAATAAATACAGGTATGTATTTGTTATGATCAATCGAAAGAAAAGTATTTGTAATATGGCATATCTGGTAAATTATAATAAGACAATACATTTTAATTTTACATTTTTATTAAATTTAAATATATTATGGGAGTGTTCGGAATTGCTTATAAAAACAACTTATTAACTTATTCTAATGTGACATCGGTAATAAGTATTCTTGAGTGTTTGAATAAACAGTTTATACCAGTGTCAAACCGGTAATAATGAGTTTTTGAAAAAGGTAAACAATTATAACTTATAATAAGTTGATAAGGACTTTTGTTGAAAAACATAAGTTGTTTCAAATAAACAATCCCAAACACCCCCTACGATTAAGAAAGCATCGTTTTTATGTATTTTGTAGTTAAAATAATCACTGTGAAAAACAGATCATATTGGTTTTCATGTGATACATCGTTTTTTCTAAACTTGATCATAAAAAAGGTAAATTAACCAGGAGGTCCCATGTTCAAATCCAAGGAGAAATAAAAATTTCCTTGGGGCCACGGAAGTTCAAATGCAGTGACTCCGAGCTATCTGCAAAGCAGATGGTTGTCCTGGGATTAGTTGGCTCGCATAACAGGTTGGATATCCATGTTAATAAAAAAAAGGTAAATTAAGACTCATTTTGAAAAGTTATCAATGGTTGAATGCTTGAATTTTTAGTTCCTTGCATCTTTATTTATTTTTACAAAACCTGTAAATTCAACATGTCAGTAAACTTAACTGGTACTTCAGAAAAAGATCATTAAGACCCATAATTGTTTGTAAAGTTGTTTTCAACCCCCAAAACAGTTTTGAGAGTCGGTTTCCGAAAACCAAAAAGAAAAAAACTCCAAAGTTGTTTCCAATTGCGTGCAATTTCCCCTCGAAATGTAGTTACGACGACAGATTTCATTTCATTGAGTTGTTTCTTCATTCTTTTAGATTGGTTGGTTCGGTTATGTTGTGCAAACGACCATTAGCCTCTTCGTGATTGTTCAAATGCATAGTACACACAAAAGAAAGCAACCCTTTTTCTCTGTGTTGTTCTTTCATACACTGACATGTATACTCTAATAAGCATCTGAAAACGGAATGACGTTTGGAGTCTATTTACCATTAAATTCAGATCTCAGAACGACGATTTAAAACCCCTGTTAAGATAACATTAGACTTGGGTCATCCATAGAAGTCCATGACTTAAGAAAAAATCGTATTTTTACGCTGAATTTGATCTATCAAAAGAAAACGGATGAAAAGTAAGATGAAAATGAATTTGTAAAAGGGAAGAAGACATGTGAATGTCTACATAATAGAAGTGTTTGGCATGTGCAATTTGTACTTGTAGAGAAACAAGTGATTAAAAATGTGGAAGCAACAACACAACACTTGGTGTATAGGCATGCCTTTTTGACATCTTTGGTGTATTCATAAGAAGACGGACGAGATCCAGTCACTGAAGCCTCTAATAAAATACCCTTTTATGGTACACAAAACTTAACGAAACGTCGGTTTCATGTCCCATACATCCATTGTCTGTCCACGTGTGAGAGCACACTCACTGGTTGCATTCAGGGTACTATCGTGAAGTCGACTTGTGTTGAAATGTAAGTGAATGTGTCAAGAAATGGAGACAGGAGGGTCCGAGCATAACTTACTAAAGCATAAGCTTATACGTGTCCATTGAGTGTATGGTTTGATCAATGGGCATAGGGGTATCAAACTAAACAAAGGATCATGGGATATTTTACATTGAATCAGCTATTGTACAACCAAACTTTAAAATACGAAGCGTAAGTAGATCATCGTATTAGTCACAAAATGACGTAAATTCATATTATACAGTTTTACGTGTCTTCAAAGGAAAACCTATTTTACAAGCTGATATCACAACCATATACATAAGGGCGGGAATTTCCACAACAAGGTATCAAATTCAAATGGTCTCACTCAACCTGCCTTACGACACTGCAATTTACCACTCTTATGAAAGTAGTGATACCAGAACAGGAGGGGGCTGTTTAGGATGGTAAAACAAACCTTTTTTTTTTCCACAATACACACATGCTATATTATGTAAACGGTCAATGAAGAGGGTAATCTAAGCTAGAGATGTGCAAGATCCCTGTCTTCCAAGCCCATTTTTCAATAAACAAAAAAAGCTTCGGGCTTTAGGATTGAAAGAGGGCATGATCAGGCTTTTTTAGGCTTTTTGTGCTTCTTTAGATTAATCGAGCTTTACAGGCCAATCTTTTACGGTTCTTAAAAACATTGGCCTGATTGGACTTTAAGGTCGAGTCTAGGCTTACTAGGTCTGAATCGGGCTTTAGGCTTGGTTTTTTTTGTGCATCTCTAATCTAAGCTTTAATCAAGTGATAATTGATTATAATAACATAAATTTCTAGAGCTGAAGTTTTATTTTTGTATATCATATACTGAAATACCAAGTATGATAACCTCGAGGAGTTAGCTCACTTGTAATAAGGTTTGGGCCTTCTGGGTTTCTTCCCAAAGATTATCGGTTCGAGTCCTTTCAAGGCCACTGATATTTTTCTGCCTGCTTTTCAGGCCCATAGAATTAGTCAAAGTACACATATATTGGTCCCGACACCCATGGTTTAAGATAAAAAGACAAAACACTTCATCTATTTTTAGCATAGCTTTTTGGGATTTTTAAAATAAATGTTCAATGAAAGAAACATCTAAAAAATGCACTTATTTTTCGCTTTCTTGAAGATGAGAGTTCTTTATCATACTTAATTAGGATTTCATTATTAACAAATTAGCATATATATATATATATATATATATATATATATATATATATATATATATATATATATATATATATATATATATATATAGTGAGAATGGTAAGAAAGGATTTCCTTGGATTAATCATAATTGAAGATCAACATTAATAAGATGCATCGAGATGCACCATATCAATTTTCGTGAGAAGCGCAATTCATGGGGTGGAAGTGAGATTAAAAATGATCAAGAGTTCAGATCCATTCTTATGCTTCTCACCTTAACTCATATTCTCTCACGATCCTTCGTCTATGTATGTATCTATGTATGAATATGTCTGATATGCAAAGTCGATAAATATTGGCCATGATTTGGACAACCCAACCGTTATGAAAACACTCGTTGAACCGATGTAACGTATATGCATTAAGAAATGATCAATATAATAAAGAAATCATTGAATTTTGAAGAAAATAAACCGCCTAAAAGAGGAAAAGAACAAAGTAAGGGTGTTGAGATGTTGATTTCCAAAGCGACTATTTTGACTTCAAGGATTAAAAGAATCATATAAGATTAGGGATAGTTAGTTGCTTAACTTTATATTATCCTTGATAACAAATCTTCTTGTAGTAACCACAAGAGTGGTGCCTGATTGGTTTGAGCTTGACTCCAAACGTCAAAAGTACCTAGAGGTCCCAAATTCAAATCCAAAGAGGAATAAGAATCCCCTTGTGGCCACGGAGGTTCAAATGCGGTGACTCCGGGCTATCTGCAAAGCAGGTAGTTTCCCTAGGATTGGTCGGCTCGCATAGCCGGTTGGATATCCAGGTTAATAAAAAAAAAAATCTTCTTGTAGCAAATCTTTCCAAAATCATAACTGGTTTTGCCAAATACTTGGTTGCGGATACACGTATATTGTTTATCAAACCTTCATGCTATCAAAAAGCCCGGAGACCTATGCATCAGTAGCATTTCTGGCGATAAGAGATTAGTCCAATCACCTATCAACGCTATGGAGTCGTTTCCAGAATCATAAACTAGGCTTACATGCTAACTAAACCAAACCAGTATATCCCATTTGGAAGTGGGGTTTAGGTGGTGAAATGTATGCAAAAATCAGGGGCAAACCTATGTGGGTCATATGGTGGCCCATGCCATTACTTCATGGTTCCACCATAGTGGAAAAAAATTTATGTTTCTGAAGGGTGTTGCCGTAATGTTTTGTTATATCCCCCTGTATTTCTTAAAACTATAGGTTTGCCCTTCGAAAGGGAGCGGGCTCGTATACCATTTTTAGCAAATTTCTAGTTTCTCACCTATTAATATTCGGTTTCTATACCTTTATGAAGAAAAGAATGGAGGAAAACAACACGGAACGAAAAGGGTCAAACCCATTACCTTCCCCTGTAAAGGATAACAACAGACCAACTAATCTACTATCATGTTGTGAACATTTTATATAGCTTTCACCCTTATGGGCTACTGGTGCCATCATTTGAAATTTTCCTGAGTCCGCCTCTGACAGAAATATACTTTGTCACAAACTGTAGGCTTGCATACTACTAAGTACAAAGTTAACCAACAATGTGGACAACAACCTATTAACACTTATCAATACTTATAAAACATTGGAAGTAATATGTAATGAGTTTAACGAGACTTACATTCGGTCAGCTATGCATGACTGTCTCGTAGTGGTTTAATAATACATAAACTGGCTTATTCGATAAGCTTTTAAAGGAGAGTTTTATGCAGAAAACCAAGTTTTTCCAAACCCATCCATCCCAATTCAAATATACGTTCCTTCCATCTATAAAACAACCCTCCCAAGCAAACCCTTTTTAATCTATACAGACATTATTAATCCATAGACAACTTTATCCATATAAGACTTAATAAAAAACCAACTGAACGAACAACCCCTAATATGTCTTAGTAGCATTGAAACACCAAAAAATTGGAACATGTACTTCACATACACAAGCTCATCCAACAGACTTAACACCTAAAACAATACTTATGTGAACGTAGAAACAGGATCCAACCGGTACCTGGTTCATTTATATGCTCCCATGCCGACATTGGCTTCACCACCGTATGGTTGGAAGGCTCCCCTGGCCTTCGAGTAGGATGCATAGTAGAACTGAGAGACTATGCTACATAAGAATACAAAAGCCGCTCCTGCTGCAAAGACTCCCTTCCTTACTGTCTCACATGATGGTCCTTCTTCGCTGAATATGGTCCTGTATTTGGTGTGGTATGCATTCCTCACTGAACCAGCAAGCAAGCATGCTTCGGCTATGATGAATGTGATCCTGAAACGTGACTTAAAGGTTAGGCACGGGAAAGGGTTTCTGTGAGAATACGTGAAACCCCATTAGATTACTCTCCAAAAGAGCTCTTGAAGAGAGAAGGAAGTTCCAAGATATAAGGAGAAGAAATTATCCAAGTCTAGCTGATGCGGGAGTCTAACACACCTCCCTCCAACTAGGGGCGGACCCACATAGATAGATACGGTGGCACGGGCCACTGCTTCATAAAAGAATTATGTTTTTGAAAGGTGCCACCGTATTGTTTTGTTGGGTGCCACCATATGGTCTTTGAAATTGAAACGTCAACAGAAGACTTTAATAGCTAAGATGGTAAAAATGCTCATGCCTTCGTACAAAAGGCCCAGATTCGAGTCCCATGATTGTCAAATTTGTTGTTTTTCAGCTTAATTTTTGGTGTTCTGTTATATATATATATTTTTAAATATATGTAGAATGGACTGGAACATGGGTCTTTTCTATGTAAGGACAAAGAACCAACCAACAGATCTGTAATATTGTGAAAAAGAAATTTGAATATTTTTTATAGTCAAATTGTGTCACCACTTGAAAATTTTTCTGGGTCCGCCTCTACCTCCAAGTGAGGGCTAGACGGGCACAGATTGTGCCAGAGTGTGGAGTCCCTAAAGTGCTAGACCTTGTCTCTGATACTATGTGAGAATATGTGGAACCCCATTAGATTAGTCTCCAAAAAAGAAGAGAAGAGAGGTTCTAACATATACCGAGAAAAAATGGTCCAAGTTTAGCAGATATGGAAATCCAACGGTTTTAAAGATTCCAAGTTCAAGAGTGCATACCAGCAGAAGATGAAGAGGAGAACTGCACAGGCTCTTGAACCAGTAGGGTTCAAAGCCTTCCCACAGCAGAAGCATCGGCTAACCACCATTATAAGAATTTGGCTAGCCAAGAGAAGGAAAAACGCACCAAGCCCATAGCCGGTTGAAATATCTGAATCATAGACACAGTAGTTGTAGTCCTTTTCAGGATCTTGTTGTACTCTAGCCTATCAAATGTCAATCATGGCACCACATCAAGTCATGATCTAAACCAAAAGAAAAGAAGCAGAAATATGCAGCTGAAATGCAATGCATAAGCAACCAGAAACACAAATGAAAGCAGTCGATTCTACTTCAAAAACCTCAATCGCAATAGTATAAGCATCTTATTTTAACATGGAAAAGAATTGAAAACCAAGCAAAATAGGCCACATTATGATGAAATCCAACCATGCGATCTACAGAAACAGATTAAAGCTTTGCTCAAGTTTTAGAGACATCATGGTACTAGAATTTGCATAATCAAAGCAACATTTGGGAGGTTTTTTTTCTCATTAATTCACATAATCAAACCAAAATAGGCCACATTATGATTAAATCCAACCATGAGATCTACTGAAACAGATTAAAGTTTTGCTCAAGTTATATAGACATCATGGTAACAGAATTTGCATAATCAAAGCAACATTTGGGGTGCCCAAATCATTCTGAACAAACAACAACTTGAATTAAAATCTCTTTCATAGGTTAGCAATCAAGCAGGGTTTCAATCAAGCAGGGTTTCAATCAAGTAATCAGATCAGGATTCAATCTCACACAAATAAAATTAGATCAAGCAGAAAGTTCAACAGATAACAAGATCAATTGTTATTGAACTATCTTGTGTTCACTAAAATGCAGGAAGTAAATCAATAAGATAAAACAGAACTGATACAAAATGCAACCAAATGAGTACAGATCGAGAAAAGAACTAAGAACGTAAGCTACTCACAGTGCTTCTCCTTTGTTCAGCAGCAACAGCCAAACCGAATGCAATCAGATCAAGAACAGAGACCACAATCATTACCAATTTGGAAGCCATTAGTGAACCTCCACTTGAATTCACTCTAACAGATCTGGATCTGAACGTATCTCTTCACCCCTTTTCAAATTTTATAACAAAAAGGATATAGAATTAAAAACTGAAGCTAATAACGACAGATATAATACATTAATACTTGAACATAAACGATTTTGACATTTTACCGTTTCAGCAAACCCTAGAAATAATCAAACCACCAAATGAAGATGCTTCTTAGTTAAGGGTTTTCGGTTCCCTTTTACAACTTCACGTGAGAGATGTAATCAATGGTTAGGTGAAAGAACGAAGGTACAATGGATAAAGCTGAAAGTACAAGTAGAGTAAGCCAATTTGAGTTTCCGGTGACGTTAAGTTAGGGTTTAAGAAGATGACGGTGTAACCATTTGTGACGGAGAGATCACATCCAACTGTGGACAGCTGGCCGGCGGTGGGGCCGGAGCCTTTAATGTTATTGATTTAAAAAAGTATTTGATTTTATATAATATTTTAAAATAAATTATTTAAATTTTAAAATAATATATATCTATACTTATATTATAAAATATTTCACAAAAATTCTTAAAAACTAATTTTTATGCATAAGGTACTGTATATTGATTCATATTACTTAAAATTTAAGATTACAAGTAAATTATGCATAAATACAACTTATTAAAGTTCGATATTTGAATTCGTATAACTAACTGCGGATAAATATAATCAAATAGAGGATAAACATTTCATTTTAAAATATAAAAATCTAAAATATAATTAAGATAATTATCAAGTTCTAACAAAATAATTAATTATTATCTTTATAAGAAATTATATTATTAAACCAAATATAAATTATTTTGTTATTATAACTAAATTAAATTATAATAAAAAAAATGTTATATGCATGAAATAACAATCTACTTTCATAATTTTTTTTATTATAGCATTCTATTTTTGTTTTTCTTTATTACATCAATGTACATTCAAATTATTTTTTATTAAGGCATTGTATTTTAAAAAAAGCTATCCATAATAGCAATGGGTAACCTGTTACCTTTTAAACTAGTTAACCCTTTGACTTTTTTGCTTGTGTGGCTTTAATGAGGTGATGTGAATGACACATCATTTTAATGACTTAACTAAAATTAAAATAAAAACTTATTTCAAATTATTATTAGTGATTTTCATTTTTCATTGCTACTATCTAAAAAACATTTAATTTTTTTATTTTTTCTTATTAAGTTACATTCAAATTAAATATTCTTAGAGTAAAATATTTATTAAATAAATATGAAACATTATTTTCGAGATATATTTTGTTTGTAAAAAATGTGACTTTTCCTATTTTATGTTGTTCAAATAAATACATATCTTTTAAAATTCTCTTTAAAATATTAACGAAATAATTGTTCTCTACAATTTTTTAATATTGTTATATTAATAAATAATTTAAAAAAAATCTAATTAATTTAATATATTTATACGTCAAGTAAAAAGTTTTTGAACAAATATAATATATATTTTAAAAGATAATATTTTTTGGTAAAAAAGAAACAATTCTTATTTTCCTTTTTGTTAAAAACATATATTTTTATAAAAATATTAGCGAGATAAGTTGTGTTCTACTAGTTTTATGATATTGGTATATTAATGAATAATTCATATTTTTTTTAATTCAATTAATACATTTATTAAATAACATGTAAAATATCTAAATATTAAAATTAAAAATACAGTGTTTAATAAGAACTAGTAGATACTATAATAAAATAATTTTGAAAGTACAATAATGTAGTAAGAAAGTCACATCATTATAGTACATGTGGACAGCTTACGTGGACAATGAGGTGGCATGGAAACCTAGTATAATGAGTAAATTTAAATCAAAAGGTTACCCAATGCTATAATGGGTAAAATTTTCAAAGTACAATGTCCTAATAAAAAATAGTTTGAAAATACATTGTTATAATAAGAAAAACTGAAAGTACAATTCTATAATAAAAAAATTTATGAAAGTAGATTGCTATTTTGTGCATTTTGCCCTAAAAAAATTGAATTAAAAAGTTACACAAAAATAAGAAATTTTAAATAGTTAATTTGATACTAAGATCGATATATTTTTGTCTAAATTTTATGATATCTTTAAATTTATATTTCATTCAAAAAAAACATCATCGTTTTCTCAAAATCACATAAGACCATGTTATAGCATCAACCAAGATAAATAATAAAATGAAATATTAAAATCAAGATGTATCTCGCTACATTGCGCGGGTACCCTTCTAGTAAATATTTTACGATTCTAACAATTATTATAAACTAGGGGTGTTCATGTGTTAAGTTGATCGGGTTGAGACATTTCAACAATTTAAATATTTATGATTTTAAATGAAGTTATTATTAAAAAAATTCCATGTAAATGTAATTTTTAAAGTGTATTTCAATATTTAACCTAGGATTAGTCTTAGCATTTTTTATTGTAACCGAGACTGACCTGCCTTGTTATACTCCAACCACTTGGGTTGGAGACCGATTTGGGACCGACTCGGACCATTTTTACCCACATGACATAGCTACGGGCCCATATTGTGTCTCGACTACTGGTCCAGTGAAATAAATGGAACCAAAGATAGCAAACAACATAGCAATTAAAGCGAAGAATGTCACTCGTCGAGTAAAACAAACAACAATTGCCCAACCGAAATAGTTTGCACAGTTAAAACCCATTTTGTCAGTATTGTTGGTTAATTCGGGACCGCTTACTAAATGTTTATCCAATAATTTACATTTGAATTCGTCTTGTGACTTGTGAAGCCTGTTCTTTGTTCTCTATATATTGGAATACACTTCCATGGATTTTAATTTTTTCAAATTATTGATGGTGAAGCTGTAACAATATCCCCCAATTTGATGATATGTTTGAATTAATTGATAGTTGGTTAAATTTTTTGGATTTAATGTTACAGTTATATAATGTTTCTGTAACAATTGATAGACTGTTTCATTTAATATAATTACAGATGTCTAAAATACCTGTGTTCATTCAAATCCAACTTTCCACGAACATTCTCTCCAGTTTTTCATTTTTCTCTGTGTTCATTTCATTACTGTACAGTTCATAAGTTGAAATACCCCTTATCCTGGCAGTGGTTTTACAAAGGGGATTACTTAGGAATTCTAAGCTTTTGAACATTTTGAATGAAATTCAGAAAGTTAGAAACATGTATGGAATCAAAAGCCTCTGAGTCTGCATTAGAAGCTTCCAAGCCTTTCGAATCATAGCCTCTGAGGAAGCCTCAATCTTATCCACAAGCAGTTGTAACTGTTATATATGCAATTATTTTATAACAAATCAATTATCCCGTTACCATTGAACTCTTATATAAACCTATGAAACACTATATCTAGGGTATGACAAACTCGAGTTTTTTGACCTTAAGAACAAAAATGGTTCCTGAACCGATTGTCCCAATACTGATTTCGTAAAATCTAAAGCATTATTTAGGATCGAAATACAGTATTTGGAAAGTGCTAATAGCACAGAATCCAATAAATTAACCAAATGATAGCAACGACGAAACCCAAATTCTCAACGATTACGTAGTGGAGACTGATGGACAAAACTACGATTTTTATAAAATGACCGTAACTTTGTTGGTTACAGGGATTGACATGGATCGGACTCATTACCAACCCTAATCTTATTTGTTTATATATTTTTAGTATTAACATTTTCTATGAAATCCTTGTAATTCGTTTAGGTAAGAAACCACACGAAATCCCCAAAATACGATGAAATGGGCTATAAACACGCACACCTCTATTGCATGATTTCTCTTTTCTTTCACCTTTATTTATATATAGAGAGAGGGGAATGATCAAATGCAAACCACTCATATTTGTACAAACTGTATAAACCATTATTATCCGTTGATTTTATTGTTTAATTTAATGATTTTGTTTCATGAAATTGTTTAATATTATGAAATTGTTTCATGAAATTGTTTAATATTATGAAATTGTTTTATATAATATTTTTCTAGATGAAGTTGTTTCATATAATAGTTATGAAATTTTAATGAAATTGTTTCATGCATTTCTTTAAAATTAATATAATGAAGATGATAATATCTATAATTAATGTACACCCTCTACAATAAAAATGATTAATCAACCTCTCATAATTATAAAAAAAAAATGAAAAATTATGATTGATTGAATGAGGTTTGTACAAATAACATGATTTGCAAAGTAAACCTTATATATATATATATAGAGAGAGAGAGAGAGAGAGAGAGAGAGAGAGAGAGAGAGAGAGAGAGAGAGAGTTGAGTTCATGTGAGACAAGACTGTTTTCGTGAGACACAATTTTTACATTTGAAACTTCAAAAAAAATGTTGTGAAGGTAAAATCGTGTAGGTACAAATATACATGTATGTCATCTTCCCAGCAAAATGTTACAAACAAATGACATTTTGTTGTGAAGTTAAAAAAAACAGAATTTTTACCGCAAAAACAATGTGAATATTATCTATACAATGTTTTGCTGTGAAGTTTTAAATGTAATAATCATTTCTCACATGATCGCAAAGTCTCTCTATATAAATTAATAATTAACACATACTTAACTCACATGAATGTATGGTGGATTAACTACATATATATCAGATTAATTAATGGCGGTGGATATTGAGGCACAATCTTCATCTCCTTCATCAATCTTTAAAGAAGTTCATTGTCCTGTTACACTCAAGGTTTGCTTTCATCATTTTAACTAATTCTTGATTTAATTTTTATAATGATCACGATATATATACATACATATATATATATATATATATATAATCTGTATATGTATGATTCAACAGTTTCAGGAAGTGGTTTACACCATCAAAGTCAAGAAACAAGGATGGATGATCAAGAAGAAACACGATCAATCATTAATGGAGAAACAGATCTTAAAAGGAATTACAGGTATAGTGTTGCCCGGAGAAATGTTGGCCATGTTAGGTCCATCCGGCTGCGGGAAAACCACCCTCCTGACGGCACTCGGTGGCCGACTTGGCGGCAAACTCAACGGAACCATCACCTACAACGGGAAACCATTCTCGAGTATCATGAAGCGTTACACCGGTTTCGTTACTCAAGATGATGTTTTATACCCTCACTTAACAGTCACCGAAACCCTAATTTTCACCGCGCTACTCCGCTTACCCAAAACCCTAACCACGCAAGAAAAGATCGTCCATGCCGAAGCCGTGATCAATCAACTTGGTTTAAAGAGATGTAAGAATATCATCATCGGTGGCCCGTCGTTAAGAGGGGTATCCGGTGGGGAGCGGAAAAGGGTTAGTATAGGGCAAGAAATGCTTATAAACCCTAGTTTGTTGTTCTTGGATGAGCCAACTTCTGGGCTCGATTCAACGACTGCTCAAAGGATTGTTTCGATATTATGGGAGTTGGCAAGAGGCGGAAGAAGCGTTGTGATGACGATTCATCAACCCTCGAGTCGGCTCTTTTATATGTTCCGTAAGGTGTTGTTGCTATCGGAAGGGAATTCACTGTATTTTGGAAAAGGATCGGAAGTTATGGATTATTTTCACAGTATTGGATTTTCGCCATCCGTAGCCATGAATCCTTCGGACTTTTTGTTAGATCTTGCGAATGGTATGTATGTATTCACTACTAAATAGAAGATACTTACGGACTTTTCCTTGGGAAATCTGTCGTTGAAGGGGTGATTCGTCACAAAACCTCACAAAATTGAGTTGATGGGAAACTCAAATCAGTGACAGATTACCCAGGTATTTTCTTGAAAAACATCGGAATGTATCGACACCGTTGGTAGTTTCTGGGTGATCCGTTGTGGGTAATGTCATTTGTTTGTTAGGACGCTCAAAGCATTCTATCAACTTAAGTTTTATAAAGCAGTCTATCAAAACATTTAGATATATTTGACATCGTATAAAGCCAGTTTTATTGTAGAGTTGCATTATAGTAACTAATTTCGTGAGTTTTATAAAACTAAAAACACAGGGATATCATCGGATGATTCGAGTCATGCGGATCAAAATGCAGTCAAGCAGAAGTTGGCTTTGGCTTATAAGTCGAATCTTGCTGAGAATCTGAAAGCTCGAGTAGCAGAAGTTCATGATCACGTTAACGATACTTTAAACAACAATAATCCTGAACGATGGAGCACAACGTGGTTGCAACAAGTCGCGGTTTTGCTCAGAAGAGGCATCAAAGAGAGGAGACACGAATTCTTTTCCGCCCTCAAGATCGGTCAGGTTATAGCAGTAGCATTTCTTTGCAGTTTGTTATGGTGGCAATCCGATACGACTCACTTACAAGATCAGGTATATATATACATATATAACATTCTGTTATAACGATATATACAGAGAGAGGTTCAAGGGAAGCCGCTAAAAAAATGAAACCTTGATAACTTTAATTGAAGTTGTTTATTAGTTTTTATACACATAAGCATGTTAGCACATGTGCATACCGGACAAATTGCTTACGAATTACTTGTATGTACATGTGCATGCCCTCCAGTTGAACGGGTTATTAGGATGTTCCTCAAATTTTCATTTTTTTGTTGTTTTCCCCTAAACCTAACCCTATATATAGAGAGTGAGATACGAAGAACCGTGTGAGAATAAGAATTACAAATTAAGATGAATGGTTACACAGCGTTCCTCACTTTTTCATTTTTTTGGGTTTTCCTCTGAACCTGACCCTATATATACACAGACAGTAACCTAAGAATAGATTTTCTAGCCAAATTTGTAGTTCCTTGATTGGAAAACTATGTATGCAGTCAGGATTGCTGTTCTTTTACTCTGGATTTTGGGGTTTTTTCCCATTATTTCAAGCAATTTTCACATTCCCTCAAGAAAGACAAATACTGGGCAAAGAAAGATCTTCAGGAATGTACAGACTTTCATCTTATTTCATATCAAGAACAATAGGAGATCTTCCAATGGAGCTGGTTCTACCCACATTGTTTTGCATCATAACCTATTGGATGGCCGGGCTCAGACCGAAGTTCCTAAGTTTCTTGTATGCTTTGTTCACGCTTCTCCTAAGCGTGTTGGTCTCACAAGGGTTAGGGCTCGCGCTAGGTGCACTCGTAATGGACCAGAAATCAGCCACCATTCTAGGGTCTGTCATCATGTTATCATTCACATTAGCCGGTGGATACTACGTTCAACATGTGCCAGCTTTCATATCGTGGATCAAATACATATCGATTAGTCAACATACGTACAAACTCTTGATAGGGACACAGTATGAGCATGGTCAGACCTACGAATGTGGCAACCGGACCTGTTTGGTTGAAGATTTTCCAGCTATTAAGAGTGTTGGGCTCGATGGTCAAGTGAACTCTGTTGTTGCTTTGGCTATGATGCTGGTGGTTTATCGGGTTGTTGCTTATTTGGCTCTCATGAGGATTGGCGTACCAAAAAAGTAGGTTATGCATTTGTATCTTCGGATCAAGATAATAAAAATAAGTGATGGTTCAAGTTGGTATTTTTTTCCTTAATTGTATATGTGCATACTGGTAATTGAAGTTGTTTCTTGATATTTATGTACGTGTGCATGGTAAAATTGCTTAAAATTATGAGTATGCACATGTGCATACTGTCTACATGAGCGGTTACAAGAGTGTTCCTCAGTTTTTCATTTTTTACGGTTTTTCCATGAACCTGACCCTATATATATATATATATAGAGAGAGAGAGAGAGAGAGAGAGAGAGACCATTATAATCGTTCATCCAGATAGTATGCATATGTGCATATAAGTAATTTGTAAGCAATTGTGTGTTACACACATGTACCTAACATGGACATATGCATAAAAATCAAGAAAAATAATTTTCAATTACTTGTATGCATATATATATATTGTCCAGATATGAATGATTACCAAAGTGTTTCTTAATTCTTTTAAGGTTTTTCCCGTGAATTCTCCCCCTCTCTATATATGGTCATTAGAGTTCTTGAAAAATTTAGGTTTATCAATTATCAAATAGTTCTTTGAAAAAGTTGTGTTTATCGATTTTCAAATAAAGATACTTGTAATTGACATTGAATTTGATAAAGATTTAAACCAAATATATAACACCAACAATAGGATATGTACCTTTTTCTTTTGAAAAGATGATCGGTACCTCTGGCAATTCGGATGTATGTATAGACCCATCTGCGACTATTCCCCAATACGGTCTTCCATTTGAACCTTGAAAATTCATTTGGACATTTTGGCAAACAGTTTGCAAGCAAAAAAATGAGTCCTTTTGAATCGTATAGATGAAAGTTATTCCAGTCCAGTGAAAACAGTTAATCGAGCTAACCAGGTAAATCTGCCTGCAAAATCCTTGATGACGTGATCATATGGGTACGAACCATGGTCTCAAGATCGGGTAGGTTTTTACAGTTGCATTTTTTAATGGTTTGCTATATTAGTATACCATTTCATGATTCCCCACAAGAACCCATAAGTGCATGGTATACAAATTAATCACTAAGAAATGAAACTATAAACCTTAACCAATCTTGAAGCCAGCCAAATCAGATTACCACCATAGCTATACAGGGTTGAGATCCGGTAAAAATGAAAGTTATGGTGAAAAACGTAAGAAAAAATCTCCACACTTGAATCAATCTTAATTGAATGTCAAAGGTGCACTAGATTAATTTCTTTCTAAAACGCAATTCATAGATGGACATGAGATTAAAAGTAATCAAGAGTTCAGATCTATTATTACACTTCTCACCATAATATCCATTCTCACACGATCATTCGTCTATAGCCATAAGTGAAGGATCGTATGAGAATGAGAGCTAATGTGAGAAGCGTGAGAAGGGATCTGGACCATTACTTACTGTTTATATCAAATTCACCCATAAATCACGCTTGATACAAGGATTAATCTAGTGCATCTAATGATGGAGATCAATTCTTACGATTCTCATGTATATATTGATGGTTTTGCAAAGAAAGATGTTCAAGAAACGTAGAGATGACTCCATCTTCTTGTATATGTTGATCTTCTAATCACATTATTTTGCATTATAACCTACCGGGTAATAAAAAGATAAGTAAATTACAACTTTCGTCCATGGATTATTGATTGATTGCAGGTTTAGTCCAAAAGTTTCAAATTACTCCAAAATAATCCCCATATGAAAATATTTAAAAAACTAACAACTTTCTGTTAAAATATAAGCATTTATTCATCTTTTACTAAATAAGTCAAAGATGATGATAATTCAAGAAAGAATATCATAAAAACGATATTATATATCATATTTATTTACATTTTATAATGATTAATTAGAAAAAAAACTTAGTTTTAAAATACAGATATATATATATATATATAATTATATACTTGGGATCATGTGAGACCATTTTTTTACACTTGAAACTTCACAGCAAAACGCTGTGAAAGTAAAAAAAAGTCAAAAAGCTGAACCTTCACAGCAAAAACACCGTGAAGGTTACTTTCACAGTGTTTTGCTGTGAAGTTTTAAGTGTAAAAAAATGGTTTTATGAAAATAGGTTGTTCTCACGTGAACCCAGCCTTGATACCCCAAATAAATATCTGTTTAACTATTTAAAAGAACACTACATACAACATATTGAGCAATATCTTTTAATTTAGATTGAAATATATTCACATCAATTATTATTTTTCTTTATTATTCATGGATTTATTGTTTAGTAGAGGCGAATATTTATGCTAGATAACAATAACATGCTTGAATAATTTGTTTCAATTTTAAATGCAATTATATTTAAATGGCAATGAAACAATTTATAATTAATTTAATTCATTAAATTTATTTGATAAAATTATTAGTGCAGGGTAATAAATTTAACAACATATTAATTAATTATTTTAAAGAAATATGGTCATTTTTAAACAATCAAGATGCTCGAAGTATATAGTAATAGGGGTGCTCAAAAACCTGATCAACCCAGTCAATTCGGTTAATCCAACCCAATCCAACGCGAAAATAACTCAACCTGATGTAGCTAGTCAAGTTGTAAAATTTTCAAACTGTAGGTATTTGGTTGATATTGAGTTACTATTATTTGAACTCAACCCAACCCGATGAATCCGATATCCTTTTATTTCTTGGATTTAATATGATTGTTGAATTTATATTATTATATACATTAGACAATTACACTATCATGTGCGCTCTTCATATACTATTCACATATCTATATAACTCATTCGTATATATGTTCAGTAACTGTGAACATATATATGTAATTTAAGAAAATTAACTGAATGTTATATACGTAATAACAATGGATAAGTTGTATCAAATGGTTGATGATGAAAAAGAAGTTATGAGTAAAAAATAACATATTCAATGTTAGAAGAATATTTTATTGTATCAAAGTATCAACCCAACCAACCCGTACGGTAGGTTGGGTTGGGTTAATATTTTTCAAACCGCAAGCATTGAGTTGAGTTGTTCAAATATTTTCAACCCGATCAACCCAACCCATTAACACCTCTATATAGTAACGTGGATGCAAATAAAATTCTTCGTTTATGTAAGAAAACTAGTACGATATTTTTGGAGCATTAATTAAATACAATGTATTTTTATATTGTTCAGTTCTCGGTCCAACTACAACCAATTCCAGACGTCATTCATATTTCTATTTTAGTGGTATCGTCGTAGTACTATTTCGTTTACTTTTGTACACAAATTACATAGACAATGACCCAAAAAAATATCGACTTTATATTACTGAGTATTGAGGATTGTTTTATAAATATTTCGTTTGTTCTTCGACCGACTTTAAATTTACCAACCAATTATGATACTCATCTTAAGTCTAAATTTGCCTTCGTAAGTCTTTATTTCATCAATCAAATTTTTTTATCGTGCATATTCGATTGTTGTAAAAAGATACGGTTGTCGCAGTTATATAACCTTATTACCTACAATGGGTTTTCAGAACTATCCTTTTTATTATTTATTTATGAAAAATATAATATCTGGTTTCCTAAACAAATTAGAAGGAAATAAAAAAACATAGTATAGAAAAGATATCCAAAATTATATAGAAATTACTATTCTACCCTTGGTTTTTATTTCCTTAATTTAATTGAATTTCGCTTGATTAAGGTAAAGTTCCTTATAAATCTGTGCCTTTTTTAAAATATCATGAACAATTCATGTAGGTTGAGCGCAATTTTCAAGGAAATATAGAATAGCGGGAACGTTTAAATAAGTTTGATTCGTGATCGTATCATAAAAACCCACTTTCCAAAGATCTCTTCCTTCTCTTTGGAATCCAACATCAATTGCAACGATTCGATAGATGGGCCTGAAATATTATTTTTTAATGCATATTACTTAAAATTGAGGATTACAAGTATATTTTGTGTAAGTACAACTTATTAAACCTTAAAGTTTGAATTCGTATAATTAACTGCAGATAAATATAATCAAATCCACGATAAATATCGTACTTAAAAAATAAAGAATCTAAAATATAGTTAATATAATCATTGAGCTTTAACATAAATATTTAATTATTATTTTAATAAAAAATTATATTATTAAACCAAAAATAAATTACTTTGTCATTAAACTTAAATTAAATTATAATAAAAAAAATTGAACTAAAGAAATTACATAAAAACTTAAATTTTTTAAACAATTAATTTAATATTAGTATAGATTTTTTTTCAAATTTAATTTTATTAAACAAGAAAAACATTATCACTTTCTAAAAACACACAAAATCATATTATAACATTCATAAAGACAAAAAATAAAAAAACATTAAAATGATTTAAAACATAGATAAAAGATTCCAAAACAAGGAAACACCACTTCTAGCAGCCCGACGCTTGTATTGCTTTTCCACAACCCCGTTTTGAGAGCGGAGCTCTGCCAACTGAGTTATATCCCCCAAGCCAAATGGAGCATACATGAAGGAGTCAGACGTTTCTTTCCTATAATATACAAAGAAAACTCCAAATATAAAAAAGAGGAGTGTGAAATTCTTTTATGGTAAAAAAATTCATTTATTTCAATTAGTTTGATGGCTTTTGCCACAAGAGGTAGACATTTTTTCTTCAATATTCTTTGGTTTCGATAATTGGATAGGATTTTGCAGTTTTTTTCTTCTGCAGTATCTCGACTAAACTAGATAAGAAAAAAGTTCCAAACCTTAATGTATGCACCTGTATAAGTACTCCATAAAATGCATTCTGATGCTGATGCATTACACAAGTAATCTTCTATATATGCATGTATATATATATATATATATATATATATATATATATAGGAGCGTTCAAATAAAAACTTGCCCATTTGTGTAAACCGTGTAAACCAATCTCATCCGTCCATTTTCTTGATCAATGACTAAGATTAGTTTACTTTATTTTAGGAAATTAAAAAATAAAAAATATTAAAAAATTATTTTATTTCAATGATAAGGGCAAATTGGTAAACAAAAGTTAACATCAATATAACATTAATTCCATAAACAAAAGTTA